GTCGAGGTTTGACAATGGACGAGAATGGATCTCTCTATGTCACTGACTTTGGAAAACATGAAGTGAGACGATATCGAAGAGGAGAATCTCAAGGAACAGTGGTTGCAGGTGGTAATGGAAGTGGAAATCGTCTCGATCAACTCTCTGGCCCACGATACGTATTCGTCGATCGAGATCATTCAGTGTACGTGTCTGATTGTGGAAGTGATCGTGTGATGAAATGGGTGAAAGGTGCAAAACAAGGCATTGCCGTGGCTGGTGGTCAAGGACAAGGAAATGGTCTTACACAATTGTATTGTCCTCAAGGAGTCGTTGTCGATCAATTGGGCACTGTCTATGTGACTGATCAAGGGAATGCTTGAATCATGCGTTGGTCCAAAGGAGCCACACAGGAAAGTGTCATTGTTGGTGGAAACAGTAGAGGAGGGCAATCGAACCAACTCAATGGACCCACCGATTTGTCATTCGATCGACACGGCAATCTCTATGTCGTTGATAACGGAAATCATCCAGTAGACAAATTCAATATAGATTCAAATGCATCGAACTTTTTCGAATGTATGTGACTATGAATGAGTGTAATGCAAAGCAAGAATGTTGCGTCAACCCGCACTCGCAGCTATAACCTCAGATTTAAAACCCACACACAAGTTCTTGTCTGAAATAAAGAAGTTCGATAGTCCCAAATTCGAGAATTCCATGACACTAACTTGCTTTTATCCTTTCTGCGAAAGTAAGGAACTCTATGTTTGCACAATTTCGGGCCATTGACTAATATGAAGACGCTTCTAACCGTCAAGAACTTTAACAAATAGGAGCATTAGATAGATTTCGTCTCATTTAGCACTCTCAAAAATAATCGAGAAACTAAGAAATACAAGGATAACAAGGATACTCGATAATTTGGGAATATCCACAATAACCAAGAAACCAAAAAATCCAACAGTTCCTCGTCGTTAAGGACTGAAAATTCCAGGAGTGTCAAGGATTTGCAGTAGTTGAACTCTGTCAAGGATATACGGATACCTGATAAGTCGAAGAGTTCCAACGATTCTACAAGCTTTATTTGTCACACAGCCCCTTTTAAGATCAGGAAATCTAACAAATCAATGCACTCCATCAATGAGCCTTATTCTGAATTCGCTTGTCGCCTTTCAAAAGGCACGAAAAAGAAGCCATATATCAACTTATATGTTGCTAAGGACGGCGTCTTTTCTTTCATCTATCGTTCTCTGTTTCAATCGCTTTGCTAGTATCATTTGAGCAAGGCACTTAACTGATATTGTTCTTTTGATATAATGTCAAACAACCGTGATTGTATGGATAAAATGATCTTGAGATAGAAGATTACTATTTTTCAAATCACCTCGGTCGAGATTTTCATTAGTAGCGAGCACGAACGAAAAACATTCTGTGATTGAGCCCAAATAGACATTAAATGGGCTTTTATAACCAACAATAGAAATGGCATCAGAGGGTGTGGGTGTGGGGTGTGGGTGTGGATCTTGGTTCTCTTTAACACCCATACCTACGCACACCCACATTCACACCCACACTCACACCTACCCACACCCACATTCACACCCACACCCACACCTACCCACACCCACATTCACACCCACACCCATACCTACCCACACCCACATTCACACCCACACCCACACTCACACCCACACCCACACCCCACACCCACACCCACACCCACACCCAAAAACACAGGGAAAGGCTAAACAAAAATAAATAAATGCAGTTGTACAACTAAGAACTTTTCTATCTACTCACACTGATCATATTTTATTGCATGAATTGTGTAAACTTGATCAAACATGCTTGGACATGTTGAAAACGTGCCATCCATGAATACTGTTTCAGCAGCGAAAAGCATTTTTAGTTGTTCACTTGTTGAAAATAAAAGTATTCGTTGGCGTCTTGTTATCATCTTGTCAGTAATTAAAAAATCGTTCTTGTTCAAAGTTTTCGAAAAAGACTCAGGAATATCAAATACTTGAGTCGTTGGAATTATAGGTGTAATAGCACGACGTGCTTTATTAATTCCACTATCTTAAAATAAAGAAAATGATTGATAGAAGTTAAATATAATAGAACAACATTTTCTTACTCATTTCACGTTCACTTGGCAAGATAGCTATTGCAGTAGTTGATAACATAGCTTTTGCACATTCTTCATCATATATACGTGGAATAGGTATTGTTTCATTTATAGCTCGTTGTTTTATTTTTTCACGAACTTCACGAACCTCAAGTTTTTCTTTTTCTGGAAGATGACTATAATTGCCAACAGTTTTCATCAATAGATTAGTTGAATCCGTATGCACTTTAGCTGCACAACCATTGATAGTGCATATCCAATACTTAGTAGTCGTTGTTGCTTTATTCAATTTAAAAGTATATTCATCGGCAACTAGTAGAGGTTTTCCTTTATTTGAATTTATAAATGAAATAGCTGGAGATTTTGCTTGAATTTCACCAGTTAAAGTTACGAAAGCTTCAGCCATAACAGTACAATTTTAGTTATATGATAACTCTTTGTTCAACTCTTTTATTTTACTTTTATCAATAGTTAGTCATCCCTATCAGTACTGGCTAAAATTCTACACTAGTAAAATCATAAGGAAAAACAATGAACGAAATGTGATTAGAATCGCCGTATACTGGAGACATGATTATTTTTTTATTTTTTACTTTCGACATTTTTTCACTTTAATATGTACGTTTCGGCATTTTTCCTTTCGATGTTTTTTCTTCGCTTTTTCTTTTTTCGACATTTTTCCAGCACACCATTTTTTCAAGCAATAACGTGGGGTGAAAGTGTTCTAGAATCACAGAACTCATTCAAAACCATTTTTATCATCAAACAAATATATTTTGATTGAAAACAAGCTAGTTAAAACTTGACATGAATTAATGCCGTTGTTTTTGATATTTACCATATTTAGGCCACAAAAGTGACAGTTCGATCAAAATTAATATCATATTCTGAACTAGTACAACACCAAAATGAAGTCCACTTATGCATGTTTCAAACACTTTCGAGACACTTTTTCATTGAAAAATTTAGCTCTAGTTCCTCTCGGGTAGTTTGGCCAAAAAAAACAAATATTACCAAAAAGAAACGATTTTGACAGTGATCAACAACTTCTACGGTTGTAATATGATAGTAGAATGCAAACCCGAGGATATTTAAACAATGAATATAGCATTTTCGTGGACATGGATTTTTTATTCCAACTGCACGGAGAGGAATATTGATTTTGATCAAACCGTTACTTTTGTGACCTAAATATAGTGAATATCAGGGAAAAAGGCACCAATTCATGTCAAATTTTAGCTAGCTTGTTTTCAATCAAAATATATTTGCTTGATGATAAAAATGTTTCTGAATATTAGTTCTATGGTTCTATAACAGTTCCCACCACGTTATCTCTCGAGAAAAGAACCCTTTATTCCTATAATTTATCTTTATGCTTTATTATAAAGGGATATCAAGATAAAAGGTGACCCCTAAGTCCTAATCAAAGGAATATCAATTGACCGTAACATGAAACCCCTGCTCTACTATTGAGCATGAAACGATAGTACCAACTTGGAATTGGGTGGAAATTTTGCCACAATTATTTATTAAAGTATCTGAAATATTTCTATCTCTTAAGAAAGGTTTTCTTCCTAGATGAATGTTCAAATATTCAAGCATAGCTTCTCTTCAATTTCGTTCGTATCACAATTCACTTTTTAAAATAAATTTTCTTGTCTTAATCTTCTTCACAGATCAATCAGAAAAAGATACAATAAAACACTATTAGCAGAGTTGATTATTTAGCTTTAATAAGGCACGAGTTGTCCTTGTGAATTGCACATTTTCATATTAGTTCCGTCGAGTGCCAATGGTCCTTGAATCGAACTGATTTTTGCTTTCACAGCTTTTGGACAATTACTACTCAAACTTTTATATTCGCAGTTGAAGACAGCTTTATTTGCTAAAAGAAAAGAAAAAATTCGTCCAATATCTTTGACCTAAAAAATATTCTATTTAATGATTTAGTTATAAGATCAAACCTTGGATAAATGGTTGAAGTGTATCACATTCATTATATTGCCAACATTGTTCATTGAGAGCCCAGTCAAAATAGTAAACGAGATCTTTGATCTGTTCTACATCATTCTTCAGCCCAACCGACAAATCGCGCGCATGAGACTCATTTGCCATCCAAATATTGTACTTGATCTGATCATTATAGGTCAATGAAAAACCTCCTCCATTGTTATCACTCGTATAGGCGTCAACATTGTCTGGTTCGACACCGTCACATCCTTTCGTCTTTGCCAAATCGAGGCGAGCACGCATTATTGGACCCAAAATGTCGATACGACGAATGTCTAACCACCACTCACCTTCCCTTTTTTTAGAAAAAAACTATAGCACAGCTAAGAAAAGATATTGACACTTACCAGCCTTCTAGTGCGTTACCCTTGACCGAGTCAGGGAAGAGATTTTTGTCTGGACGCCAATTCTCATAACTTCCAGCACTGCAATATGAGCAGAAAAAAAAATCGTTGTATATCAGATATGTTTGAATACTAGTCACAATCGGTAGATTGTTTTTATTCGTCATTAGCAATATTAATAGTCTTCAATGGAAGGTGAACTCAATACCTGAAATAGCAAATGACTTTTTTGCCAGCTCGTTTGAGTTGAGTGATGGTGTCCACCGGTGTATCCCAGAGATCAATGTCATACATGACAACATTCTTCGCTGTATTGATCTTTCCCGACAATTGCCAGGTCCAGTTGGTGAGAGGAGTCGGTTTCCAGTAACATTCGACAGTTGAAACAATCAGTAATAATGATATAAAAGTTATTGCATTCATATTTATCCGTCGATTTATGTCTTTTCACTTTTCTACAAACACAGAAACATAAAAATAAATAGACCGTATTTCACATCGTTGCTACGTATGTGTTCTTTTCTACTGTACGACAAGAAATACTTCTATGTTTATATGAGTCTCTTACTTGTAAATCAACCTCTGCCGAAGCATAGCTAATGCATTCATCTGTTGTCTAAGTCAGAGATGTTCATCGCGGCTCGAAATCTGCCGCTGCCGCGCCGCGGCGATAGAAAAGAAAATCTGCAGCGGCGCTGCCGCGATGGTACTCAAAAAAAAGTTTCGAATTTCATTGCTGTGAATGTATTGAAATACAATTCTTGTCACTAATCGATGAGATTCATTGAGTCTTAGAGTGTTACGTTTGTGGACACTCAATTTTTGGCAAATTCATGAAGTTTTGGTAATATCTTCTAAAAGGAGCCTGCCGCTACCCGCCACCGCGGCAGCGGCAGCGCCGCGATGGACATCTCTGGTATAAGTGTGGTCACTTGATATACATAGAGTTCTGCAGTAAGAGACTTTGATTGCCTACACGCTTCACTATATGTCCATGTTGCACACACTACTGGTTCTCTTCATCACGTTGATTTTGTTATTTAATATGTGATGAAAAATATACAGAATATTACAGTTACTGATACATATTCAGTTATTCATCGAGCATAGCGTTATACGATTGATTAGAGTGTGAAATCAGATTGACGTAAACGTTGTGATATTTGTTTTTCTTTGATTCCTCACCTCAATCGTTTTCACTTTTCTTTCTCATTTGCATGTGCTTTCAATGTGATCGACGTTTCGTATTCAAAATAATAACAAAAAAAAACAAACTATCAACGTTTTTAATTAGAAAATGCTTGAAACTGGTCCATCGAGAGTAGTCGATAAATCAAATGAGCGAGAGAGAGTTTAGCTGATCAATGTGAAGCCAGAAAACAAATTTTCTTTCACAAGACTTTCAGACAGGATAGGGGTGTCGCATTAGCATTAAGAGTTAACACTAATGCTTTAACATTAAAAGGCATTAGTATTAATTAATGTTTAGATATTAGCATTAATTTAGGATTGTTATTAATGCTACTGCACATACGCAGTAACAATTCTAGATTGCTACCTTGAAGTACTTCTTCAACTTTTTAAGAACTACTTGAGGGTAGGCTCGGTAACATTTCAAAGGCTTCCTAGTGGTACTCTTTATAACTTCTCAAGAGCTATCTGGGGTTACCCTCAGTAACTTTTTAAGGATCATCAGGGGTACCTTTTTTGCAATTTTTCAGCTACTACACTAACCATATAACAGTATTCAATTTTTGAGAACCACTCAAGTATCATACATAATATTTCATAAAGAGTTGCCATATTTGAAATAACATGTTCGCTGATCGGGTTCATGAAGAGACGATTGAATGGCATCCAAATGGATATATTGGATATGGGTGTGAGTGGGTGTGGGTGTGTGTATCCGTATAGATCTCTAATTCATCCACACCCCACCCAATACCCACACCCACCCTGTTTTGGGAATTTTCAATGAACTGATGAACTTCTCTAAGCATTTTATTTAGTAAGGTACTTCGAATTCAAAATTACAGCAAGCTGTATTTTCCGATGTTTGATACATATCGGCTTCTCAAAAATGCTTTTTCATGAAGAGAAAACTATATTTTAATAATCCCGAGCTATAAAAAATTTAGAATTTCGATGATCTGCGCCTATCCAAATTGATTCCATTCTAATTAATCAAAGATATGTAGATCTATATTGATAAATTTATTTTTATGGACATTTTCGATCTTGTACTATCGTTTTCAATTAGTTGAGCAGAACCACAGATGTTACAAAACACAAATAGAAAAACGAATAAACAATCAAGAAAATAGATGAGAAAGATAAACATCAAAATGAATAACATCATTAACATAAACTTGTAAACTCTTATTAATGGATTAAAATTATCATTAGTATAAATCAATGTAATAATAATTCGATGTAATACCATTATGAAAGTTAATAAGATTATGAAAAATAATAATATAATAGTGAAATTGTTAACATAAATGAAATCAATGATATGTTTAACATAGAGTATGAGTATGGGTGTAGATCTTCTCTTCGTCCATACCCCACATTAACACCATCCACACTCACACCCATACCTTGGAATAAACTCACATATGCTTGATAATAACTCAATAAATGATACTTTAAACATGTCATTGATTTCATTTATGTTATCAATTTCACTATTATGCTATTATTTTTCATAATCTTATTAACTTTCATCATGGTATTACATTGAATTATATTGATGATAATTTTAATTTATTAATAAGAGTTTATAAGTTTACGTTTATGATGTTCAGCTTTCTCATCTATTTTCTTGTTTATTTATATGTTTTTCTGTGTGTTTTGTAACATTTGTAGTCCTATTAAACTAGTTGAAAATAATCATATAAGATCAAAAATTTCCATAAAAATAAATTTATTGTTATAGATTTCTACATTTATTTGATTAATTAGATATTGAATTAAACCTCATGTAGTATTGCTTTCATACTGATTCCATTCAATTTTGGGCACTTTCTTTTCTGGTTCGTTTCAGGACTAGCAAGTAGAAAAAGTACTCAGCATGGAATGGAGCCAGTATTGGTAGACGTAATTACGGATGTTGATTCAAAAAATGACATTTTTATTAAATCAATGCTAAGTTATAATGGAATAAATGAAGAAACACCGATACAATTCGGAAGTTTTTGTAGCTCAGAATTATTAAAAGCGATTTTTTCGTTCGTGGAAAAACGTTTTTGAAAAACTAAAAATATACTTTTCAAGTGTATTCTGTGGCGTTTCTAATGACATATGATTACTGGCTCTATCTCTTCATAGGGCTGACCAGATCGATTTGAAAACATGTCTGGAAAATCATCTTGATGATTTGAACTTCTCATCTTTTCGTCCAAAGTATTATGATGATATTTAGCATGAATAGCATGACAAACGATTTTTCTAGATGTAGTTTAATAGGCCGTATCTGTAAAAAGCTGTCTTTGCTTAATTATAAAATAAAAGTACTCGATAAATCAATAGTTATACACTGATTCTTTCACTTATTCAGGAAACTACCATGTGTAGATTGTCTTAGAAAAAATTAGATATTCTGGATCAAAACTAAACACAAGAAAAATAATCTGCTATATTCTTGATCAATGCGACAAATCTCTTTCTAGCCATGTACAAAAGATGGGAGAATGACATTTTCTATAAGCATTGCAATGAAAGCGCAATGTCGTTGTTGTCTTTTATTAAAAAAACGTTGACTACTCTTTATTAAAACAGATACATAGTCAAAAGAGATTCGATTGTGAATTATCAATATCAAAGCAGTAGTTGTCTATAACTGCGTATTAGTCATACGCAAAAGAAACAAAATTACATGATATATATATATATATATATAATATATAACTGGATGTTGAAAAAGTCTAACAACATACTCATTAAGATATTTTAAACTATCTTGAAATAGAAAGCATCGTAAATATACTTTTACAACATTATCCTCTTCATATAGAATAATGTACAGTTCATGTTCTCTATTCTATGAACAAATATAATAGATCATAATTGCCTTTAATCACTCTATTGAGTGCTTTTCACCATAATGCATATATCACGTCTACAAAGCTATTTGTCGAAAAATTTGCAGACATATATAAAACGGATTCCCTGTATTTTCTACAGTTTTGTCAACGAATCATCATGCTTCTTGATTGTTTCAGTTTTTTTACATAAGAAAAACTATCTTTTTTTACTCAATACTAAATATTTCTTATACCATTCACATGAGATTGTATTGCTTACCTGTATATTTGTGTACGCTCTTGAATGATCAACAAATTGTTTTATGCTTTTGCTTATCGTGGATGAGTGACTATTATGTATTAACGCATTTTTCCCTTTGTATTATATTGCTTGTATTATTTCCCTCAACCATGACTCAATCGTGTATGCAATTATTGACTAACTAGCAAGCTATGGGAGGAAACCCATTTCATTGATAGTACAACGAGTCATACTATGACCTATTGAATTTTAACCTTGGAATGTTTCTTCATAGTATTTGTATTGTTGTAATTTTCCTAAATTTTCACTTCTTTCTTCAAAAATTTACTATATAGTTATATTCTCTCGTTGTATACTATATCATTTTGTTATATGGTATGTTCCTTTCGTGCTATGAAATATTCTCTTACGTCACTACACATACATATGTCACAGGCAAAATTGAACTTATATTAAGCGCAAAATTTTAGTCGTATCTTTCAATTTACAAATAATTCGAAATTATTGTTTGCATTCAGAAACTTCAGCAAATTGGTCAACTATTTCATTACTGAATATATCAATAATTTTTGAGCAGATATGACAAATATGATACATCTTCTATGTTAAAGTAGCAAATAAAAACTCTTATGTATAAAAGAAATTATCATCAATTTATAAAATATTTACTTATTTCTTTTCTTTTCTTTTCAACGATATTTTTTCGCTTGGCCAATTAAAAAATTGTTTTCATGTTAGAGAATATCCACTATTCAATGGTAAATATATGATGACTACTAATTAACATCACTTAGATCAGTTGTCCGATGATTGTCGCTTTTTTTTCTATATTAATTATGAAATGCAACAGGTCATGTATGAAGCTACCGATAAAAACAATAAGTGATTTTCACTTTTATTGTTTTCAACTTTCTTGAAAACCAATTCAACTTGTCAAAAAACAATATTCACAAGTCAGATTTTGTTTTGTAATATTTCTTTCCTTCCCTGCTTCCCTCTTCTTTCTTTTTCTTTTTCAGTCGGTCAGAAACCATAAAATGACTTGATGACCAATAGAAATGAGAAAATCAGTATTCTGTAAGAGTTTGATTTACTTCACATTGTATACCGTTACTTTTTTCATAATCTCCTCTTTTCCTATTAAACTAAGAATAAAAAATAACTGATTATTGATTAGGTAATCGATAAGAAAAACAACGATATTTTATTTTTATTATTATTAATTTTAATAATAGAAAAATAGAATAACCTGAAACTAATTATATAATTACTACTTACGATTTTATATTTTTTCGCTTTTCCTTTTCTTCTCCTTTGTTTTATTTATGTTCTGTAAGCAGCTAAAAAAACATTCTGATGGTAAACAAACTTGAAATCGGATATTCTATATTCACTTCGTTTTGTTGACATCAAATGATAGCACTCTTTGATAATTATCTCTTTTTCTAAACTAACAGTGAGGTGTGAATGGTCATCCATAAAAAATAGTGGCAATACACAAATTGATACTTAAATTTTACTACTGTTATCTCCAAAACGCAAAAAAACTGTTCTCGAACGATACGATCACTGAATACATTTTCATATTTTATTATAATTTTCCTCTTTTCTTCCCTTTTTTCATTTTTCCTTCTTTTGGTCGGACAATACTTAGCAAATAATTTTCGTGGTATAGAAACTTAAAAGTAAATATTCTATAGTTATTCCACTTAATATCATCTAGAATCGTTTGTTTCACGATCATCTCTTTTTCTAAATTGGGATTCAAATGTAACCGATAATCTGTGGGTGTGAGTATGGATATGGATGCGGATGGGAATAAAGAGATAACCCACACCCCACCCACACCCACACCCACACCCACACCCACACCCACCCACACATGTATATATCAAGAGTATCTGATAGATATTAATCTATTTTAATTAAAATTCTTTTCTTATATGTTTTGTTTGTGTAGAATAGTTTGTTATATTGACAGAATACACGATAGATCTCTAGTAGTTATATTCTATTATTAAGAAATCGAACATTTTATCACCTTTAATAACAGATGAAAAAAGGTACGATAAAATTCATAAAATTTTTTTTTCTTTTTTTTAAATTATTTTTTATAAACAATGTAAATGAAAAACTTGTCATTATTTGATAAATCTTTGGTAAAGAATAACATTTCGTTTTCTCTGTATTGTATCTGTTCTGTCTTATTTGTCAATAAAAAAAAACAAATTCACTATCGTTTGTTTCATAATAATTGGAATACCAAATAGAATAAATACTATTCAATGATATTTAACATCGTATTTACTTTGAAGTTAATCATACACAGTTTGATTCATATTTGAATATATGAATCTGTTTAGAATGCAGTCAAAGAATTATACAGACCAGAAATATTTGCAAATGAAACAAATTCAGACAATTGAGTTATGCAAAGATGAACAATATTCACTAACTGAAAACGATGAAGAAATTATTGAATTGATTGAAACTAGCAATCCAATCAATATGAGGAAAATATTTATAAACATTGACACATTGTTTCTTTGTCAAATTCCTAATAAAACAGTTGAAACATCGTCGAATATTAACTGGAAAAATTTCTTTAAATTTATTTCACTTGAGGGTGTGGGTGTAGATGAAAGGATATGAATACCCACATTCACACCTTTACAATTGGAAATAAACTTCAGGATAATGATATAAGAATTCATCGACTAAAACAATAAAATCCTAAAAATAAGTACTGTTCAAGATGTCAACATGAATTTGCACATCGATCAGCTTATTTACGTCATATGAGAAAAGTACATCAAGGATAATTTGCAATTACATTGAATAATAATNCAGATGCTCGACAATATATATACCATGATATTCCGCATCACTTTGTTTTTGAACGCAATGGAACATGGAAACGCCGATTACAAGGCGAAAATGTCATCGGTAGAATGTACTCTGTCAGTCCGGGTGATGTAGAACGTTACCATCTCCATCTATTACTATTACATACTCCTGGTGCCTGCAGTTTTGATGACCTTAAAACAGTGGATGGTCAAGTCTCAAACATTTATGGAAGCTGCTAAGCGACGAGACCTATTACATGATGATACTGAATATGAAAGATGTATGACTGAAGCAGTACTCTTCCAGATGCCACAACAGCTAAGAATACTATTTTGTGTGATACTCCTATATTGTAACCCAACAAAACCAATAGATCTCTGGAATTCATTTAAAGGACATATGGCTGAAGACTTTATACAACATGCTGATTCTGAAGCAGCAGAAGCAATGACATTCTATGCAATTGAAGAAAAGCTGCAAGAACAAGGTCGAAGCTGTAGTGATTTTGGTATACCATCACCAACATCCGATCCTTATACATTTGAATAAAAAATTATCAGTAGGGAAAAAGAACTTCGAATAGGACAAGAAATGTATTCAATGTTGAATAAAGATCAACGTTCAGCAGCCGATAAAATTCTTGCAGCTCATCATGAACAATCAACTACTGGCTCAGGTTTCTTCATAGATGGACCTGGATGTACAGGAAAAACTTACCTTTATAACACCCTGTACCATTTATTCATGGGACAAGGCGTCCATGTTATGCCAGTTGCATGGACAGGAATTGCTGCAAGTCTACTGCCCGTAGGAAGAACAGTACACAGTCGTTTCAAACTTCCTGTACCTATCCTAGAAACATCGACGTCCAGTATTCGACCACACAGCAAGGAAGCGGAAGATATTAAAAAGACAGAAGTTTTTATTTGGGATGAAGCATCAATGGCTCCATCATATGCTCCGAAGGCAGTTGATATATTACTAAGAGATATAATGAACATTAATCTGCCTTTCGGAGGAAAAATTATGGTACTCGGTGGTGATTTTCGTCAAGTCCTACCAGTAATTCGATTCGCAAATAGATCAGACTTGATTGCAGCAAGTCTAAAAAGTTCTGATCCTTGGTCTTATTTCAACGTCATGCATCTTAACCAGAACATGAGAACAGGACCAGGTGAAGAAGAATTCTCGAAAAGGTTAATTAAACTTGGCAATGGTGAATTACCATCAAACGAATATGATGAAATCGAATTACCTAGTTCTTGCATGCTTGATGGTAATTTGGTCGACGAGATATTTTGGCAGCGCATTTCCATCAATGACATTCCAACTCTATGCAACAGAACAATACTATGTCCAAAAAATGAACATTCTCTCTTGGTAAATGACGAAGTTCTTCAACGTCTACCCGGTAAAGAAATAGTATACACAAGTGTGGATGACGTAGAATGTGAAGATGGTGATGACGTGACCAACTATCCCACAGAATTTTTGAACAGCCTTACACCATCAGGAATGCCTCCTCATAAACTTAAACTAAAGATTGGTGCAATTGTAATGCTTCTTCGCAACCTCGATGTACAGCAAGGTTTATGCAATGGTACTCGACTGATCGTACGACGTTTACAAAAACCACACAATTGATTGTGAAGTCGCAACGGGATCTAATAATGGAAGTCGAGTTATAATATCCAGAATTACAATGACACCATCTGATACATGTTTGCCCTTTAAATTATGCAGACATCAGTTTCCTATTCGACTTTCATTTGCTATGACAATCAACAAATCACAAGGACAAACATTTGAACGATTAGGATTACTTCTACCGCAACGAGTATTCAGCCATGGACAACTATACGTTGCTTTTTCAAGAGTTCGCTCCCTTACATCTATCAAGATACAACTTATCAAAGCAAAGAACAGTGAAAAAAATAAAACTAGAAACATTGTTTCCAAAGAAATTTTGTAAATTAGCTGTTTTAAAATAGAAAGAAAATTAAGTAAATAAATTGTTTTGATAGAACAGAAATAAAGATTTCCATTGTATCGCTGAGAATCCCTTGTCGTCACAAAAAAATTTCTTTCGATAAGAAAACATTACCGTGCAGTATGCACGGGCTCTCGCTAGTTTCACGATATTGTCGTAACTCCCACCATATACGAATCAGAATTTTACGATACATATTTTTGTAAGATTTCATTTAATCAAAACGCTAGCGCGAAATAGCAATTCTAGATGCAACTATTACTCTCATTTGAAGCTAAGCATATTTTGAAAGTCAATTATAACATTATTGTGGTAGAGGCGATTCGATACTTTTGATATTCTCAAAGTTTTCCCGAGCAAAGTAGAATACGATATTGTTGCTCTAAACTCTTCAGTCGAGTGTTAAGCGAATCGCACAGCGACGAGCATTACTTGTGACTATGATGAAAATGAATCATTGGAGATTCAGACTAACTTTACATTAGAAGAGATGGAAAATATAGTGAAATGAGTTGATCAACATCCAAATTATAAATTTGCATCTATTAAGAATAGATCTCTAAAAGTCAAATACATGTATTATATTACAAGATTTAGAGAATATATATATTAAGAAGAACGGCACAAGACTAGAAAAAGTAAATAACATCAAAGCATTTATGTGGAACCAATTTTATGTGAAAAGAGCAATTGAAAAAGAAGCAATTCATGATAGTGATCTAGAACTTTTTGCAATTNTTACGTAATCTCTCAACTATGATTCATCTCGTGATTATCTTTTTGTCTTTCGTTATTGCGCAGTTGTTGATGTTCTATCGTATCGATCACTCGATACTCAATATATTCTATATATAACACGACGACAAAGTCGATTATTAAAACATGTTTAGCTCTCTAATTTTGGCAGACTAAATATTAGTTCTACCATTGCTACATAATCCCCAAAACGAGAGCTAACACTCAATAACGGAAGAAAGAGGCTATCATTATGATAGTATTGTTCGACAATTCGCCTCAACTTTATATATTCTTGGAGGCCATACTGCATATGAATTCGTTCGTTTAAACATTCCTGCATTTCTACCTAGCGTACAATCTATTCAGTCGACCATCGCTTCATCAGAAAATCACCACACGGAAGGACACTTTGATTTTAATCGCGTTGGTGATTATTTCAATTCGAAAAAACAACATTAGCATTCTGTGCTGAAGATTCTACAGCAACTGTTTCGACAGTAATATACGATACACAAACGAACACATTTATCGGTTTCTCTCTTCCACTTGATCAAAACAGGTTGCCTATCGTCAAGTCATATTCAACTGACTCGTTTACTTGTTTAGAAAATTGGTATTCAAATGAACCTATGGCAAAATCGCTAGTTGCTCATCTTATTCAGCCACTTTGATCTTCACTGGAAAATGTATCACCTTATCTTCTTGCAGCGTATGGAACAAATAATAAATTTAAATCGCCAGACGTTATTTCTCGATGGGGTTATATCTATCGTCAATGTAAAGCTAAAGGTGTTCGTGTTATAGGCTACTCAAGTGACTGCGATAGTCGCTATTTAAATGCGATGAGATGATCTCTCGGATTTTTTGGCGATTTCGTTTATAATAATCATCCAGACAACTATGAAATTAATATTCCAAATACGTGGAATTGGTTCCTAATGCAAAGCAAACAATTATTCATTTGTATGCAGGACCCCATGCATATTTGTACTAAACTACGTAACAGACTTCTTTCGAAAACAACAACACTCGTTTTCGGTAATCAACTCGTCAATATTCAACCACTATATTATATAATTGATAATTTTTGTAAACTCGACCACGGACTTGTTCGATCTGATGTTAACCCAAAAGATAGACAGAATTACGGATCGAGTGAGAAGATTTCCAGTGACAAAGTTTTGAAGCTACTTGAAAATATTCCAAATTCTATTGGTATTAGTATTTATTTACAGGTGAGCATCATAAACAATTCTATATACACCGGATACAGCAGTATTCCATCTTATTTGATTAAGAATAATTAACTAGTCGAATTGATTTTGAGAAAATATTATCTTAGATGCATATACATTGAATTGAATGATTTAATCAAAAAATTTTAATAATAGTTCACTGTGTCAGTAGGATGTAACATGATTGGAACGTCTTGATGAATGCATTGAAACCAATTTCATTCTATGTGAAAAGCAAAGCTCGTTACTATCTCGATGAACTGATATTGTTGAACTCATAGGCCATCGTTAAGAATGTTAGAGTTCACGTTTATTTTTATGCGGTGACTGAGGAATGGAAACTCAATTCAAAATTTGTTTGCACGAGTTTTTGACTATCTGGGAACATACGTATATGTATGTCTATATTTCAATATGTTTCAAGTCACTATGAATTTTTGGAAACTAGAACCTATCCGGCTTCTGGATTTTCGGGAACGGAGCCCAAAACTGACTTCCAAAACCATCACCATAAAAACTGATCATAAAATGGCTATTGATTGCGGTTTCTGATTTTAGGTCATTAAATACATTCGACTTGCTTATATAGAAAAAGCAACAACTATAATGGACCGTATATTTTATGCGTGGGTGATCGTGTTTATTTTTCGATTTTGGTCTATGTGGATGAACACAATGAATCGAGAAAATCTCGATTTATTTGTCGCTCAATTCCCCGACTCTAATGTTATATCTAAGAAGTGAAAAAGCAAAACAAAACGCCATTTTTTTATAACATATCAATCACATTTCTCGGTCGAAATCAACGCTCATAGTCTCGTATATCTCGCAGTACTTTTCTCCGAAGGACAAGTTTCTTCTGAAGCTCTCAATATATGTCTACAAAATTCTCAAACCTGTGAAAGTATATTCAGGTCAGCAAGATCAATATCAAGTACTTGTTCCGCAGGTGTGAACTTTACAGTGTCGCAATTCCTTGCTCGGATCAAGAAATTATCCATGTTGCAACACATAAAAAACAACGTTAGTCAAAACAACTTACGTTTTCCTCAACATCATAAATTGTCAACAGCTTCACGAAATGCGTCACCCAACTTAAATACAGCTCTTCTTTCGAAAAAAAATATTGAAATTAGAGTTCTGGATGCATATCAATATGTAATTAATCTTTTGAGTCCACTTAAAATAAACCAATGTTTACGAAATCAACAAACAATATCAATTGAAGAACTTAGTAGTACAATCTCTGATCATTTAGGACAATCATGGGCAAGAGAAACCGATGAGAATACAAACGAAGATTCCGATGTTGAATCAGATAATGAAACAAACAATAACATGATTAATGATCTTACAAGTAATTATGATAGTGATGAGGATTTGGAATTCGATGATGGTTTCGACTCTATAAATAATGTTACAACATCTGCAAATCGTGGAGTACGACTGGTTGACAACGTAAATGAAAAGCTCTCTCAAACAGACTTTCGAGTTTCAATTAACAAACAAAATAAATTTCTTCACAAACAAACTGCTTGCTGGCTTCTGGAGAAAGATAAAAGCTCATTGCCCGCTGATCGATTGTCACGCGTTCAAGAACAATAATCATTTTCTTTTTCTCAACTATTTGTTTAAGTAAAAAAACTTGATGTTTATCTACCATAATGTAAATTTTTTTCTGCATTATAACAACTTTGGTTACTGAAAGTCACGTATCTATAATCTATATTCGTAATTCTACTGATATTAGTGAATAAGAAAGGTAACTCGAAACTATGAAAACAAAAATAAGAATTTTCAGAAGTACTAGAAATCACAAGAAATCACTGGAAATCACAAGAAATCACTAGAAAACACAAGAAATCACTAGAAATCATCGGAAATCATGGAAATCACTAGAAATAAAAAAATCGAGAAATCAGTTTGTTCCCCCTTGCTCTAATCCAACAAAACCGATAGATCTCTGGAATTCGTTTAAAGCACATATGACCGAGGACTTCATGCAACATGTCGATGCTCAAACAGCAGAAGCAATGGTATTTTATGCAATCAACGAAAAGCTGAAAGAACAAGGTCGAAGTTGCAGTGATTTTGGTATACCATCACCAACATCTGTTTCTTATTCATTTGAATCAAAAATAATCAACAAAGAAGAAGAACTTCGAATAGGACAAAAAATGTGTGCAATGTTGAATCAAGATCAACGTTCAGCAGCAGATGCAATCCTTGCAAGTCATCGTAAACAATCAACCACCGCTGCTGGCTCATGTTTCTTTATCGATGGCCCTTGAGGTATAGGAAAAACCTATCTCTATAACACCCTGCAACATTTTTTCATGGGACAAGGAGTCCATGTTATGACAGTTGCATGGACAGGAATTGCTGTGAGTTTATTGCCTGAAGGAAGAACTGTATATAGTCGTTTCAAACTTCCTGTATCTATCTTAGAAACATCTACATCACGCATTGGACCGAACAGCAAGGAAGCTGAAGAAATTAGAAAGACAGAAGTTTTCATTTGGGACGAAGCACCAATGGATCCATCGTATGCTCTCAATGCAGTTGATATTTTACTGAGAGATATAATGAACATCGATGCACTTTTTGGAGGAAAAATTATGATATTCGGTGGAGATTTTCGACAAGTTCTTCCAGTCATTCGATTTGCAAACAGATCAGATTTAATTGCAGCAAGTCTCAAAAGTTCTGCCTTCTGGCCTTACTTCAAGGTAATGCATCTACACCAGAATATGAGAACAGAACCAGGTGAAGAAGAGTTCTCAAAATGGCTTATTAAACTTGGCAATGGTAAATTAACATCTAACAAATATGATGAAATCGAATTGCCTAGCTCCTGCATGTTAAACGGTAATTTGGTCGATGAGATATTTAGCCAACACATTTCTATAGAAGATGTTCCACCTCTATGCAACAGAATAATTCTCTGTTCCAAAAATGAACATTCTCTCCTGGCAAATGAAGAAGTTCTTCAACGGCTACCCCGGAATAGAAAAACTGTACACAAATGTGGATGAAGTAGAGTGTAAAGATGGTGATGATGTAACTAACTATCCCACAGAATTTTTGAATAGCCTCACCTCATCAGGAATGCATCCTCATAAACTTAACTAAAGAACGATGCAATTGTTATACTTCTTCGCAACCTCGATGTTCATCAAGGTCTATGCAATGGAATTCGGCTCATTGTACGACGTTTACAAAATCACACGATTGCTTGCGAAGTGGCAACTGGATGTATACAAAGGAAATCGACTTCTAATACCAAGAATTACTTTGACATCGTCTGATCCGTTTTTGCCCTTTAAATTACGTAAACATCAATTTCCTGTTCGACTCTCATTTGCTATGACAATCAACAAATCACAAGGACAGACATTTGACCGATTAGGACTCATTCTGCCACTACCAGTTTTCAGCCATGGACAACTATACGTTGCTTTTTCAAGAGTTTGCTCTCTAGTATCTACCAAAGTGCAAGTCATCAAAGAAGAAAAAAACAATAGAAAAAATAAAACTAAAAACCTTGTTTTCAAAGAAATTTTGTAAATTTGTTTTTTCTAAATAAAATGAAAACTAGGCAAATAAACTGTTTTGATAAAACGGAGATGAAGATTTCAATTCTATCCTGATGATTCCTCATTTTTACGAAAAAATTGCTTTCGATGATAAAAAAAAAACAATCGTGCAGTATGCACGGGTTCTCGCTAGTACTAGATATAAACAGATGATCGTTGCACTACTTGTTGCTGACTTACTTAGAATCATCAATGATACATTGATACCACTCATTAACATAACTAATATCGAGTTTAAGAAGTTGATTCAGAAGCTTAAAGATGCACTGATCAAGGATGATTTGCAAATACAGACTGATAATGGAACATTTTAGGTGTCATAGATGGGTCATTGGATGAATATAAAATATCACGCAACAATAGACGAGATTGTGGCTTCTCCATATGGTTTCAAGAGTGATGGAAATAAGAGCTGTTTCTCANGAACTCACAACATGTGTTCTTTATCCTTGTTACACTAATGCAAAATAAATTAAGTGAAAAGTCTTTAGAAAACTTTAGTTCAGCACCTTTTTGTCCTCGGCTGGTATGGAAATGTACCCGATCCATTCTGCTCCCTTGCCATGAGACATTGGAAGAACCACATAACCTTGACTTAAAACTCACATGAAGTTTAATAGCAAAATTGCCATTGAAGGAAACACTATATCTAATAACAATCTTTGTTTTCGTCAAACTTATTAGGTAACGAAATATGTGAATTTTGCTTCATTTATTTTGCCTAATTAGCTGAATTTATAAAAAAAATCATTCTATCTAAAGAATAAAAATAGCGAAAAAAAATCAACCGATGAATTAATATTTCAAACTTACAATCTAACTTTATATTCGAATAATTTTTAAGACATTAATTGTTGCATATTTGTTATTTGTTCATCATTAACATGTGTCATAAATTGTTATGATGTAAATACTAGATCATAACTAAAACAATATATTCAACACTAATCACGTTCATTAAATCATGTTGGAAATAATTGTTTTTTTTTACAATATGGTTTCGTATGTAGTACAACGAGTTTAGATATCTTGTCCATATCATAATGACCATGGTTAACAATAGATTGTGGGGAATTAATACTTGAATAAATATTTGGTAATGTTGATTCATTGAGTTTATGTGATAGACTTATTATTGTTGAAGAAATTTTCATATCTTAGAATCGTTTGGTTTTCATCAGATTCCAATAGCATGCCGTTTTTCACTCTTCCATAAATATCCAACGATCTATTTTTGAAAACTGTTGTACCCCTGTTCTAAGTTGAAATCTTCGTTATAATACATGATTCGATGGAACAACTTTCGCTCTACGTAATTCTTATATGGGTTAGCTAATATTTATTGCTCAATATATCAAAAAGCAAGAGCAGTGCAATTTTCATCATATACGTATTCAATTTGAATGGAAAATTCATTTTGAGAAATTGTTTTAAAAGCGTGGATTTGTAGGAAAACTTTTTTTCTGTTGGAAACTCTTATATTTGAAATCAAAACGAATTATATTATGAATAGCAAGAGTAAAAAGCTTACCGTAGTCCTAGCAATAATCTAAGCCCAAATCTCAGGAAATGTATAGCAAACTTTTACACATCACGTCTTTGTAGATAGAAGATGAAAGTCAGAACAACGTTCTGTGCTAAGTTTCATTTGGTACTTTTTTGTTTAGTGAGATACATATCTACTCTGTTGCTGAGACTGCAATAAGCTGTTTTACTCCTGTTATTTCTAGCATACCAAGAGTACTGAAGATGAACGGAAACTCATATTGAAGACTCAAAAATGTTTGTATCATCTCAAGACATAGATCTCTTTGACATAGTTCGAACGAATTTCTAGCGACACATAGTATAGATTTTGTTACGGCAAAAAACACGCAAATTATAAAGACCGAATGCGTATACGACTAATTACAAAAATGCTATGCTTCGTACTGCATTAGGTATACATAATAAAACTGGTATCAGTCAACATTAAATTGCAAGACGTTATAAAGTGCATCAAACAATAATCAATCGTACATTGAGAAAAAACCAGAAGGCTCTAACAATGTAAAATGAAAATCTAGAAAAGTGAGCTCTAGAAGAAAAAGCTGTGGTAAACTCTACAGAATGATTGTGATATTATTTTGAGCACTGAAAAACATTTTGGGTTAAATGGTGATAATGTTCGATATGATCAAAGATATTATACAAGCAATCCACCAACAACTTCATCTGATCTTAAATATAAAGATAAAGACATTTTCGTCAAAAATTTTAGTGTGGATAATCATGTCATTAAAAGGTTTATCTAACATTTTCAAATAATGATAATTATGTACTTTGGCGGAATAAAGCTACTACATTTTATGCTGATACTGTCGCTAACAGAATAAGTCACAAAATTCAGACGCAACTGGGACATGCTTTATGCATAGAGTGCAAACTCAAAATAGATTTATCATCTGAAACAATTATATAGAAGCATAGAAATGAAAACAGCTTAGAGAAGTGGAAAGCTAGATTGTTTTACTAAGAAAACTTAGTTTTAATGAAAATGTATCTACAGATGTTGATGAACCATATGACGAAACAATTGAATACATGAAAAGGACAATGATCTATCAAAAAGGTGAACATGCATGATATATGTATCCATAAGTATGAGTTTGCCATTAACACTACATTATTCCATCCTAGCGTCATCAGCAACAAGCAAACATATACATACTTAGCGAAACTGATTGAATTTTCGAAGCAAAAGAAGAATTCGGAATCACTTGTTTTTTGTGGCATTTAAGATCATCTATTTTTGTTTGTTGTTGTCTATGGAAGAAACTAAACAGTATACTTTTCATATAAAATGCAAGGGTTCGAATCAGACAAATATTAAATGATTTTTGAATTTATAATGTAAGTGTCTGACTTCCAACGAAAATATTCCAATTGTCAAAAAACATTACACCGATGCCATCAAATAGTCTGATAAAGAAACGCACCATTATTCGTTTTCTAAATAATTTTATTATAATTTGTATTTTTTTTCTGAAAATAAATTAACTAATTCCATTTTCTACTTTCCTGTGTTTTGATAAAGTATCTTTTATCTCTTTTTTTTGGTCATATTAACAATAATGATTTAGCACATATTGTCTTCATATTTTTTTTTAATTCTATTATAAAACTAAAAGATTGCACAGATGTAGAAGCGTGTGGGTGTGAGTGTGGATCTTCTCCTCTCATACACCCACACCCACCCTGTTCCCGAATATCAGAGTTTCTTTTATCGACATCAAAACTGATAAGAACATACCTTCAAAGTATTATCAGTGAAAAGCCTCTGTATGAACTGGCTATGATGTTTATGCGCTTCATTTTTCACCTTAATTTCGAACAAGTCATCGACAACTTCTCCATACATAGGAGATAGCTTCTTGGATTTACCAATTCGATCTGGATGCAAGATTCTACTGTGTATCACTTTATTGTATCATATTCTTCAGTTTACTAGATAAAATGATCCTTTTTGATTGAGACTGACCCTTTGATGATTAAGATTGAGCTTGAAAATTTTCGATCATATTTAGTACCATGTAACAATATATTTCTTGTAGATTCTTTGGCTTAGTTAATATTTTCATTTTAAGTGCGTCAACGTGAAGCATAGAATGAATATTTGACAATACAAGAGAAAGAATTTCAACATTATTCTTATGTCAATAAATAAAGATACTATGTATATATATTAAACTTAATGTTTGTTTTATAAATTGATTCAAATTTACATAGAGAATTACTAGAACTTGGATGAAAACGTATAAAAAGAAACTCAATGTATCAACAAAAACTGTTTAATAAGATAATACAATACTCCTGTTTTACTTTCTTTAAGAGAACATTATAATTAATCAGTAAAAGAAGATATGAATAATCAGTATAAATATTGAATGCTCAGTACTAAAATGATCAGTAATTAATTGTAAAATGATCAGTATATGATATATAATTACCAGTAAAAAATACAGATTTGATCCAGTGCTGCCAACTTTTAAAGTTCAAAAAGCAGAAAATGACAGAAATTTTATCATAAAAAAGCAGAATAAAAAGACAGAAAGCATTGTTTGTGATATAAAGCTGTTTTGAAACTTTGTCCCAGTACACTAATTAAGCGTTTTCACATCAAATCTTGATCTTTATTGTACAGAATCAAGAAAAACAATTAATTAACAAATAAAAAGGGTTACCAAACAAATTTTCTTTTAAACGTATATTTTTCATCACATTTAATAGATTTTAATAAATCTTGATTACATAATCAATATTTATGTGTTTCAATACATGATAAGGATGAATTTAAAAGTATTGTTAATAAAGCTGACATTAGCTGTGTTCCTGTACAGTTCCTTTTATCATTTACAAACAGCTTCAGTTTTCAGAATGCTGATTTTACATAAGGGCTGCTACAAAGTAGAAAATATGAAAACATACCAGCTTCTTAAACTTTGCTGATTAAATGAAAGAATATATAAACATCCATAAGTAGTCGGAAATAACAAAAATAAAGATCATTTTTGTAACATTGAAAGAATTATAATAGAACAAAAACATTCCCATGTCATCGAAATCGTCACAAAATCGATGATTTTATCGCGATAGGTTATCGATTAATTGTGAGATTACATCGCGATAAATCATAAAAATTGACGATTTTTCTTGAATCCTCGCAACAAAAACACAGAAAATGAAAAACCCATATGACTTTGAAATCGGTCGATCATATATAGGGTGTGGGTGTGGGTGTGGGTGTGTGGGTGTGGTTGGGTGTGGGTGAGTGGATGTGAGTGTGGGGTGTGGATGTGTGGGTTGTCTTCATCCACACCCACACCCACACCCACATCCACATCCACACCCACCCACACTCACACACCCACAATATCTTTACCATGATATTCCACAACATTTTGTTTTTGAACGTAATGGAACATGGAAGCATCGACTACAAGGTGAGAATGTCATTGGTAGAATGTACTTCGTTAGTCCCAGTGATGTCGAACGTTACCATCTTCGATTATTACTGTTATATACTCCTGGTGAATGTAGTTGTGATGATCTTAAAACAGTAGATGGCCAAGTCTGTCAAACATTTATGGAAGCTGCCAAAAGACGAGGCCTATTATGTGATGATACGGAATATGAAAGATGCATGTCTGGAGCTGTTATCTTCCGGATGCCACAACAACTAAGAACACTTTTCTGTGTGATACTTTTATACTGTAATCCAACAAGGCCTGTAGACCTCTGGAATTCATTTAAAGCACATATGGCCGAGGACTTCATGCAACCAGTGGATAGTGAAACAGCAGAAGCAATGGAATTTTATGCAATTGATGCAAAACTGAAAGAACAAGGTCGAAGTTGCAGTGACTTTGATATACCATCACCCACATCTGTTCCTTATTCATTCGAATCAAAAATTATCAATAAAGAAGAAGAACTTCGAATGGGACAAGAAATGTATGCAATGTTGAATCAAGATCAACGTTCAATAGCAGATACAATTCTTGCAAGCCATCGTACACAATCAACAACTACTGCTGACTCATGTTTCTTTATCGACGGTCCTGGAGCTACAGGGAAAACTTATCTCTATAACACTCTGTATCATTTATTCATAGGACAAGGAATCTATGTTATGACAGTTGCATGGACAGGAATTGCTGCAAGTTTATTACCTGAAGGAAGAACTGTACATAGTCGTTTCAAGCTTCCTGTGCCTATCTTAGAAACATCTACATCAAGTATTCGACCAAACAGTCAGGAAGCTGAAGAGATTAGAAAGACTCAAGTTTTTATCTGGGACGAAGCACCAATGGCTCCATGTTATGCTCTCAATGCAGTTGATATTTTGCTGAGAGATATAATGAACATCGATGCGCCGTTAGGAGGAAAAATTATGACACTCGGTGCAGATTTTCGACAAGTTCTTCCAATCATTCGATTTGCAAACAGATCAGAATTAATTGCAGCAAGTCTCAAAGGTTCCAACCTTTGGCCTTACTTCAAAGTCATCCATCTACACCAGGACATGAGAACAGGACCAGGTGAAGAAGAGTTCTCAAAGTCGCTTATTAAGCTTGGCAATGATGAATTAACATCGAACGAAGATGATGAAATCGAATTGCCTAGCTCCTGTATGTTAAACGGTAATTTGGTCGACGAGATCTTTGGCCAACACATTTCTATTGAAGATGTTCCAACTCTATGCAACAGAGCAATTCTTTGTCCCAAAAATGCACATTCTCTCTTGGTCAATGAAGAAGTTCTTCAACGACTACCAGAAACAGAAAAAACGTATACAAGTGTGGATGAAGTAGAATGTGAAGATGGTGATGATATTACCAACTATCCCACAGAATTTTTGAATAGCCTTACACCATCAGGAATGCCTCCCCATAAACTTAAACTAAAGATCAGTGCAATTGTTATGCTTCTTCGCAACCTCGACGTTCATCAAGGTCTATGCAATGGAATTTGACTGATTGTGCGACGTTTACTAAATCACACGATTGATTGTGAAGTCGCAACTGGATCTAACAAAGGAAGCCGAATTCTAATACCAAGAATTACGTTGACACTGTCTGATCCATTTTCGCCCTTTCAACTACGTAGACATCAATTTCCTATTCGACTCTCATTTGCTATGACAATTAACAAATCACAAGGACATACCTTTGATCGATTAGGACTACTTCTACCACAACCAGTTTTCAGCCATGGACAACTATACGTTGCTTTTTCAAGAGTTCGCTCTCTAACAACTATCAAGGTACAAATAATCAAAGAAGAAAAAAACAGTGAAAGACATAAAACTAAAAACATTGTTTTCAAAGAAATTTTGTAAATTTGTTGTTTTAGAATAAAATGAAGATTATGTAAATAAATTCTTTTGATACAACGAAGATACATATTTTAACAATATACCCGATAATTCCCTGATCCTCACGAAAAACTTGCTTTCGATAATAAAAAACTACCGTGCAGTATGCACGGGTTCTCTCTAGTTGTCGATAGTGTTCATCATCAGAATGTTTATCAATTGTTGAATTTATTTCACGATATAAATCAATATCAGAATAATGATTACAATTTGAACAAACAGGTTGTGGTAAAACAAATGATGTTAAAGATGGAAGATTTGTTGTTGTCATTTCAGAATATCTAAACAAAAATATATTTACAAATGAGAGAGATAGAAAAAAAGCAATGAAAACTTTTTTTTTAATTAATTTACTCGCTAAGTTTAAGTAATTTAAGTAGATCTCTTCGGAGACTCATAACATCATCATGCATATCATGTAAAAGAATTAGAAGACAACAAATAGATTTAACAAATTCAAGTGCTGGACTTGTACTTGATAATAGTGTTGGTAATGCTGAATCAAAATCATTTTTTTATATTCGTCATGAAGACGGTCATATTCCGAACGAGCAAATCCAATCCTTAAATAGAACACAACAGCTTGCCAGAACAACCTCTTTGAGATTCAAAATGTGAAGTTCACATATGTTCTTTACCCTTTTTATATTAATACAAGATATGATAAGTGAAAAATTTCTAGACAATTATAGCTATTTTCCAAGGATAATCGATCGCAGTGGAACGATCTGTCTTACTTATTTCTACATTTTGAACAAGTGTTTTTTTGCTTGACCCGCTGCTATTTGCTCGTTTTGTTTTCATGTTCATACTCCGTTTTTCTTAATTTAATAATATTATTATTCTAACTATATTTTTAACTGATGAATAAGACTGTTTTACATATGTATCACAGAGCAGGGGAAGCTCAACTCAAAACGGTGATCAATTCAATTCAATTCAACACAGTCGCATTGAAAAATTTTTATCAATAATACTTGTTCTTATTTTCCTTCATTGGACGAATTAGAAATAGTTTTATTGACGTTCATCAAATCAAAAAAATTCTTTCTCGTCAAATCAGAATACAACTAAACTCTTTTAGTATAGAACGATTTGAAGTATTTATTCAACAACAATAGCAGATAACCAGAGAGGGTCATGACTGAAGCAAATATTATGGAGCAAGAGATGAATAAATTATAAGAGGCATACGTTTAACAATAGATATCCTATCAGTCCACCAAAGCAAATGCTATGCATGATATTGCAATAGTAGATAAAAATACATGAACATTGTATCTATGACGTAAAAGAATTGTAAAATGTCTCAACCCAATTGAACTAATTCATGAACTGAATTGAGTTTCTCAGCTCTGATCCATTATATCTACAGCAGGTCCCAATGCATTGTTATATACCTTGATCAGTTCACGATTTTTATGTTGATTATATGACAACAATGACAAAATAATACAATATATCATTATCCATCAATCTTGACATATTGATTATAAATTTCTCTCTATGCAAAAAATTAGAAACTGTCCTACTTAGAACTTTCTCGATTGTATTGTAGCCATTTAAATTCCATGTAAGGTTCTGAAATGTTCTAGAATCTTCTAAGCCTCTTTATTAATAAAGGATTTATTATTCTGCGAGTTTTGTACAGTGCACCAACGCCTGATAGGATGGAGAACTAAATGAATACTATAGATAAACAAAGTCCTAACATTTTATAGTCTTTAAATCATGAGATAAAAAAGATCATTGGTTTACAAATATTGTTGCGTCACGTTTGTCGAAGGTAACATGGTAATTTCCTATTCGAAGCGTCCTATGGCACCAAATGAAAGTACTGCAAACATGAATCCATTCGAAATACTGTAAACACCAATGACGTATTGTTTGCTGAATAACGCAAAGCTTCCAAGAGAAAATAAGTAGAGAGTCATAACGAAGTTTAATTTGTAGAATCGAAACGATTTCAATATTTTATAGATTCGATTGCAAATCGGCAGAGCAGGAATAAATATAGCTTCGTAGGAAAATAGAAAATGAACCGGTATTATCGGTTTTGTGTTTGCAATCAACGGCGTCATAGTGCTTTCAACTGGTTTGAACACGTGTCTTTCTATCAACTGTTGAGTTTTCGCATCATTAACACGGTTGTACTTTGGTGTTACAATCCACTTCTTAGTAGATTTGTGATTAAATAGGCCGGCAATAATAGCACGAGACTTATGTAGAGAGATGGCATTCGAAAACACCATGTAGAGTACAATCAGGTGGAGTTCTTTTGGTGTAAATGTCAAAATGGGTAAAGTGAAAAGTCCCATCATCAACAGAAAGCCAGAAAAGACAACATTTGTCATTTGCCTCCAGACAAAGATTGGGATATATAATAGAAACAAAATATAGTTGAAAAGTGAAAATATTTGCCGAAATAGAAACCATAAGCACCATAACTTTTTGGTCAAGCATATGTTTTGTGCTTGAATTATGCGCATGGTCATTTTTCGAACAACCTGAATTGGACCACTGGTCCATCGATGTTGTTGGGAGAGATAGGCAGAGAACGTTGGCGGTATTTCATTTAGACACTCGACATCTTTCATGTAGACTGAACGCCAGCCATCCAAATGAGCTCGAAGAGAGAGATCCATGTCTTCAACAAGTGTATCCGAGTGCCAACCGCCTCCTTGCTTGATGGCCGATCTACGCCAAATTCCACCCGTACCATTGAAACCGAAGAACAGAGATGCACGATAAGTACCTTCTTGTTCGCATTTATGATGATAATTGAACCAGATCTCTTGCATGCGTGTGAGGAAGGATTCTTTGTGATTAGTAAATGTCCATCGTGTCTGAACGAAAGCTATGAGTGGATCTTGAATCAACGTGGGTACTGTTCGTAAGAGAAAGTCAGGCGTGGGTAAAAAGTCAGCATCAAATATGGCAATATAATTCGCATGCGGAGCAAAGGCCATACCGTGCGCCAGGTTGCCGGCTTTGAATCCCTTTCGGTCAGGACGACGAATAACGTTAATTTGCACGCCCTCTCGGCTCCACTTATCAACACACTGATCAATAAGTGTCATAACAGGTTCGTCGGTCGAGTCGTCAAGTACTTGAATGAGCAATCGAGTTTTTGGCCAATCAAGTTTGCACGCGCACTCAATGATGAACGCACAACATTCAATTTCATTTCTCATAGGTAGCTGAACAGCAACAAAAGGATAATCAGTAATGTTTGGTGGCGACGGTAGCACATCGTAGAGTGTAGGATGAACTTTAGCTGGCAAACAGAAACGAAAAATGAATTGTATGAGAGGGTTAATATTGCTGATGACCCAGAGTATAATGAAGAGTGTTATTGTTGCATCAAGATTCGTAGCTATGAATTGTGTTGTATATGTTGCATGGAAATGAGTTGAGTTCTGCGCAAGAAAAACTAATATTGTTTGAGCTTCAATTGACATTTTGCATCAACAATGCATCAGGCAAATATTCACAATGAGAAGTCAAATTCTAGGTTAATATGAATCGATCTTAACATTTGCAAAAAACGTGTTCGGCTACACTGGTGAGTACGATGCGAATCATCGTTCGTTTCATCTAGACAAATCTGGACATGGGTGGGAATGTGGACGTGGACATGGTTAAAGAAAAGACACACCACCACATCCAATATTCATATCCTTGATTTTCTGAGTTATTTTTCATTAGAGTCGGGCAAAAAATGGTGAAAAAACGATTAAAACGGTATAGTTTTAATCTATCTTTAGTCATTTTGATATGGGATAGTACAAACTGAATTCTTTGTGGAGCTGCTGTGTCTAATTTGATATAATGAACGTCACTAGAGCCTCAGCTCATTTACACATAAAAAGGGCCTTTTTTTTGTCTAACTTAGTAAAAAAGCTATTTTTTCCAACTGATTTATAGGTTTACGATAAGACAAGTACAACCACAATATCTTTCTGAATGATAGAACTCAAAATGTTAGGATAAAACTT